CAGAGCGCGGATCGTTTCGGCGCAGGGAAAGAGCATCTGCGATCGGACATGCAGCAAATTCGTCAGAGAGTTGACCGGTCAATTGAAGACACGCGCGCACTCGTTTGAAATCAAGCGAGCTAAAACATAACTCAGATTAAAAAGTACCACAGTAATGAATTAGCACTGGAATGTCTATTTTCACATCACTCTACAGACCTGACTTTTTGGAGGCTGTTTGAGGAAGACATGAACTCAGTTGAAGTGTTTCTTGTACTATTGGATATAAACAATAATGCTAAACGCTTGAGTCTGTGGGACTGAAGAGTAACCCCAGAGCAACATCCAATAACGACGTCTGGGCTGGAGAGCAGGTGCTTGTCTCTTCTTAAAGAGGAAAACAGACAGAGGATGTGACACAAGTATTTCCTTGAACACTGATTTCCTGAAAGACACTGAATCACCACACTAAATCAGTGTCTGAATCAGACACTGAAACAGTGCTTCCGATTAGCAATCACAGCAGATTCGTATTTTATCGGCGTGTCCTTGTAACGCCGTCCTGTACTGACTGAAGCGACCGGACCAGCGCGCAGACCAGCGTCCTCCGGCTTCTTCCATTCGGTGTAACCCCTGCGAGATCACCTCCAAACTAACTTGATCGCCTGGCCGTCCCTGGAGCCCGCTCATGGGTGACGCTGGACCGGATGGCGTGTTACTATCTTGTGATCAGCTCCACGCACCTCAGCAATGGCCACTACCGGAGCATCAAAGGAGTTTTCCGGGGTCCGCTCTGCAAAACGACCAGAGGCGAATCACCGGTAATAATACTCAATCGTCGCTTTTGTTTATTAAAGATATCAGCACGATGCGCTATTAGGAACTCATTAAGAACACTTTATTGGTTTGTATTGTGTTTACGTTCTAGTTCCCAGTTGTCTAAGCTAAAGTATGTTTATAAAACGCATGTGACAACAAAATCTGGACATATACTTAAGTGGGAACACCTTTGAATGAAATGTAAAGAAGAGAGGATTTAATGACCTATGAAACTCATGCCATCAACATGACCTTCACTTGTAAACTGCACTAGACAGTGAAATCCTAAAAGCATTTTGTTTTATGTAGTAGGGATGAGGGAGTTTACTGCATGTATGCAATGCGTAAAGCATCACTCTATATATATTAGATGTCAGGCTTGTGAGTCAATGAGGCATTTGTGACTTTATTGTGCTGTGATCACAGACCCCTGACGCTCTGCTAACAGAGACTGATGGCAGGTCTTGCTCTGTTGGGCTCAGACTATTGAGCTGTATGTTAAACTTTGACCTAAAGCACTGTTCTGGTACTAACCCACCTATGGATGCCACAACACCGTGCTTAGAAGCTTCAGCAACTGATTGGGAAATTCACTGATGGTTCTAACCATCCTAAAACAGAGTGTGTGTCTGACATATTTGAGGTTGTCACCTACACTAAAAACTACACTAAAAACAAAAATTTGGTCTAGAAACTGTTTTCACTCATAAATTGCACAAATAAGTACAAAGAAACGGCAAGTAACACATTTACAATTAAATACAATACAATTAAACATGACATTCTGACATGAAGTAAGATGACTAATTCTTTTTCTTCATAAAAAGTACTCCAATAATCTTCGTTTTATTTACAACATAAAAATGATAGGGTACACTGAAAAAAATTGGTATAGTATTTACTTTGAAACAGTTTCACTCAGAAATTGCTTGTAAAAAGGCAAATGGCATATGACAGATTGAATGTAACATAAAATTTTAGGAAGGCTAAAATATTTTTTTCTTGTAAACATACACTTTTTTTTTTACAACTTTGAAAAATCATTTAGCTGTATTTGTCATCCATATGTATGTGTAATTCTTTGGAGGGCATCATTGGCCTCTTCTGCTGATGAAATTGTAGTTGTTTAGTCAGCATATTGAATGACTTTAAAGTTTCCATTTGTTGTTTTATGCTTCAAAAAGAACGCACAGCTAATCAGAAATTATATGAGATGAAATGAGGACAAAACAGGACGCTTAGTGCTTCTATAGCCAAAAGAGAGCAGATAGAAACAAGAGATGAGAGCAGGGTGAGAGAATTTTTTTTTGTCTTTTTCTGGCAGTTTCACCTGCCATTTCAGCCAGCATTATAATCCATTCCATTCACATGCTTAATTGAGGCTCTGCTGTTGTATGAGCCTAAACTTTGTGTCCGGTCCAGGGAAATTATATATACTAATGAAGACTATTACTTGTTCAAAACCCAGCAGACACAAATTGAGACTTGTACCTGTTGTACCTTGTAACTTGAGATGGGTAAGTGTGTGTGTGTGTGTGTGTGTGTGTGTTTTCTACTTGGCCTGCCCTACAGGACGGACAGACAGTGCAGGCTGATTGGAAAGAAGCTGGGCTCAGTGGTGATAGTTTTGATGGGTAATTTCAGAGCAGCTGTTGTGAAGGGTGCATTTGCTCCAGCTTAAATCAGAGTGCCATGTTCACTCTAACTCAAAGCATGAGGAGGTCACACACATACACGATCACGCAGGCACATATTCAAACATACAAATATGGCAGAATGACATGCTCGGGATTCTCAGCCACTCTGGCTGACAGCCTCTGTTGTCTTACATCACATGCACATTAATAATTGTTTGCATATGTTGCAGCGATGTGCTCTAAAAATGTCAGATATGCAATAAATCATCTAAGCTTTGCTAAATGTCTTTAACATAATAATCCGGGCACTATACAACATTTAGGGTGCTTTGTGTAAAACGATTAGGAGCTGTAAGAAAGCTGTGGGAACTGTCCTCATTTATAGAGGAAGAAACATTGGTGGTGATTCAAAAAATGGGCATGTCATGCTCCAGTTGTTCTCTAGCCCAGCACTAGAGGGCACCTCACTGGTGCAAAGTTGTCAGGTTTTTGTTCAAGGTTCAATGAAGAAAAGGAAAAATCTAGATTAAATCACATGCCAGGTCATGGGTCTTGAAATGCATTTTTAAAATAATTTTAGAATGTTTCCTGAGGTGCACTTATAATCTTAGGATAAATTTTTTTCATCAAAAATTGTCATAATTTTGATTATAAATGGTCATTTTCAATTATAAATTTAGATTTGATCGCTCCATTGGTAGGGGCGTGTCTTCTGTGAGACTTCACTGTAAATGCCCATTGCTATGATTGGCTAACATCTTTGCATATGAAATGAGCATTACATGTGAAACTCTCTTGAAAGTTGTTGTTGTGCTTTTACTGTAACAGCTGCCAGTGTTAATTACAGCCTTATTCTTAGAACTACTCCCGTAGCATCAAATGTTGCAGTTCTCCACTGGAGCCGAACACAGTCATGTCTACAGATCATCTGCTTATAATCTCCTTATTGCAACGTGATTTCACCTATATTTTTATTATAACTAACCTAGTGAAAACACATTGTAAATAGGAGACTCGTTGAGCAGTGTCAGCTTTGTCAATGATTATAAAGGGAGTTTAGGTGAAAATGCAGAAATCAAATCACTGGTAGACTGAAGTTACGATTCTCCCCATTTCAGATCCGGAAGCTTCAGAAAGGTAGACAGAATAATTCATATTTTAAACTGGAGGATTAATTTTGAGTTTTGAACTTGAAGTATGTTTTTATTGTAGAGTAACCTGTTGTGTAAATATCAAGAACATTTTGATTCTCAAATTTAAATTATGAATTGAAGCAGAAACATACATTATTAACATTTTTACTGTCGCTATTCCAGAATATTAAGAACGTTTTAAGTCCTGCATGGACTCAGTCTTCCACATATTCTGTAGTTTATAGAAACAAATGAATTTAAAACATAAGTACTGGACAC